AAAAAAAAAAAAAAAAAAAAAAAAAAAAAAAAACAATGGCAAATGATGGGGAAGAATCAGCGTTTATTATTTTTAATAATCTCGATACAAAAATGGTTCTCTCTTGTATGAAATGTAAGTGAATGGAGGTGCCTTATGGGCGTAGAAAAGCCCACTACAAGTCCCTCTTTATGTGTATCATAGGGGATGCGGTAATTCCTCTTGCTGACTGCGTAGGAAAACGTTGGCTTAAGTCTAAACTAAGGCGTTTTTAACTAGCTTATCCTAGGAGTTCTGGGGATGTTTCGGCACCATTTTGCTCATCATGTTTGTGGCTACATAAAAAATGTTGAATTTTGCTGGAATCTAATGCTGTTGCTGTGTTAATTACTAGAATGCGATTCAGAGGTTAATGGTTCTTCCTTTGATTTGTACGTCTTTTTGTACAGTACAAAAAAATCGCGGAAAATTCAGCAAGCAGCGTGTAGCTGTAACTGCTGCAAGCACAACAATAATAAACTTCAAAAATACTCGATCTGTATCAAATAATAAGCGAAAAAAACTAGATAATCACGCGAAGAAGTAACCTATCTGCATTCACAAATGGTAAGTAACTCGACGATAGCTACAAAGAGCATCATAGGACACGGAGAAACAGGCAGGTACAATTCTGGGGAAATCAAAGGTGTCAATAATTCCGTAGTTTTTTAAAAAATAAGCTGAGTAAACGCCGCTCAATTTGAACTGAAACTGGCATTTTTTATAAGTTACTAGCCGATCCCATCACCGTGATTTTAGTCATTCTGCGAAAGATTTTTCATACCAAATTAGAAATGACGCCGCCTATATATAAGTATACTTGCCACAACTCTAAATTGAAAAAAGGGATATTTTTAGTGAGCTAACTGGAGTTCTTTCCACACATAAAGTGAGAAGAATGGTTGTAAAAGAAATAAGCCTTTAAATCGAATCCCAGCATAGATCTGAGCAAGACCGTCAAAATCCGGCTTGACCCAAAAAACAAAACCTAGCCGGAACTTTTCAGGAGCAGCATGACACTGAAATAACCGCAATCTGGATGAAGTGAGCGTTGACTGGATTTAAGCCACTATCTTATTGACAGCCAGCCAACTGCATCGCCGTGTCAGTTACCCTGTGAAGAGAACTTTCCCACCAAATGAGAAATGAACTCTCCGATAATCCCCGTTTTAATCAGAAATTTATGGGAAATTCCGGCACAGTGGTCCCACTTTCCCAGCTTTTTTCCTAATCTTGAAATATTCCAGACACAAAAAATAAGATTGATTTGTCGTTTTTGGAACTCAATAGGTTGCTTTGTAGTGCATTTTTTGGAAACATCTCGTAGATTTCTTTTTTTGTTTTGCAATTTCGAAGCAATTCGGGTGTTTTTCCGGATCTAGACTGAGCCACTTCTCTAATAGGACCACACTCAGAATTTAAAATATGATGGTGCAGGTCTGTTTTCGCAATCACAGCGCCGCCTATACGCTTATTCTTTTCGGCACACTGTTATGCAAGTGGGGGGAGGGGAGAGGACAAACTGCAAAAGGGCCATGAAAACACAGCCGATATTTCCGAAATTTGGAAGTTTGCCAGGCTGGGCAAGGTTCTCTGCATTACATCACCTGATAGTACAGATATACGCATTATTTTATAAATTGTTGCTGTCGTGTTTTCGTTATCTGTTGAGAGTCTAGTTGGTTTTACTTCATCAGTTTTCCTCATTTAAAAGAAGAAGATCTGTGCAGAAGGGTTGTTAGGCCAGTCTGAATCCGAAAGATAGTTGAATTTCTTGTTGCGGAAGTACACTATTTTTTACCAGAATCTGGTTTTTAAAACTTCAGAATTAGCTTTTTTAGAATGTATAACGGGATTGGATTACAGACGGCGAGAGGTTCTGGGACTAATGGTTACGTACAGGCAAATCGTGCGAATTTGCAGTTATCTAAGGTTTGTAATCTACGCTTTATTTCATAATTAGTGTTTTTTGTACTTAAAAGTTCTAGAATTTTTGAAAATTAACGTTTATCTTTTCCGCTCATTTTACTTTTGAAGGCAGGAAAATTTTTTCAGGCCTATTAAGGAACGATTCCTAGACTTTACTTATGTGTACAATACACTGTTGCTTATATGCTATAATATCACTGTTTAAAGGAATTTAACATTGCTGCAGTAGAGTCATTATTTAACATCAAAAGGTGCAAGGGGAAGATTATTCACTGTGTAAACAACTTTGTTTTTTGATATGCTTAAATTATTTAGAGGCGAGTGGCTTATAATTCGGAGGCAGATATCAAGCGTGCAGAGGCCGAACTTTCTAGAAAACCAAACCCAGAACTTCTGGAGCACATGAAGAAGCGACAGATAGAATTGAAGTGTGCAGATTTCGAACTTTTAATGGAAAAAAAGGTGGGTACTTGTCACAGTCGTTAACATTCTTTTGTTTATTGTCAATTTTAATTTATTCGTTGCGGTAGTCTTGGAGAACGGAAATATCAGAATTGAGCAACAATGTTGGGTTCAGCCCTCTGTTTCGAAAAGTCTTTATCTTTTCAATGAAGATAGTTTTTTCACTTTTATATAGTCCTAAATTCGTTTGCATGAGCATCTCAGGTTCTGATCATTTTAGGTCATGACCATTAAGAATTAGAGATTGCTATAGGCAGTTGATCGCCGGGTCATTTTAAGTGGCATGTCTCGTCTAGTCCAGCGTAGTCTTATTTTTTTCAG